CCAATATGATAATTTTCTACATAATATCTAAGAATTTCATGAAGGTAAATTATAGAACTGAGTTCAAACCTTGATTGTTATGAGTGATAAAACATTTGTGTTCAGGATATGATCACATGACATCAAAACTAGATTGCTCCAGCAAACAATATACTCATGAAACAGTGTGCAGCTACCAATACACTCTCAGATCACAAATGATAAGTACAATCCTCAGCAGGCTTTTGAAGTGTTTATTTACAGTAGGGGACATTCATGAACAAATCTTTTTTCCTTTAGTAACAGAGCTCACTGTTTCATTGACACAAATTTACAGTTCAGACCCAGTGGAAATCTGGAGTCTACGTGTACACATTTAAAACTATCTGTCTTTATTGCTTGAGAGAAAGCTGACACCAGGGAAGGTCAGTCCTTAATGTGAGAGTAATACTGTATGTGACATGGCTCTTTAAACAGTTTATAATTCTTAAAAACAACATGTTCATCAGTACACAGGATTAGAAAACTCCAAAACTTTGTCTCAGAGATATTTGCAATATAACACAGAAAAACCTGAAATAAAACAGCAAGAGCTTAAAATAACCAAATATTATCTCCAAGCATGGCACCAAATACATAAGATAAAATAAAGACACCAACAGGATTGAGTTCGGAGCAGCTGGTCTTTGAAAGCAGCGAATATGAAGAACTGGACAGAGATTAACACAGATTTGGCTTCTGGATTCAAATAAGCATGAAAAAGGTTCTTCTCACTGTTTATTAATGAGAGTGTCAGACAGTCCCTCGGTCATCAGTACACATGCACATACACGATGACTGGAACTGTAAGTGAATTCTATATAACATGTGTGCATATTATTTCCTCTCAGTTTAAACCAACACCTCCAGCACTATTAATAAATGTATTAAGCAGAAAAGTTAAACCGATGATGTAGAATCGCTGGCTGGAGTTAGTTTGTTAGTTTCCTTCAAATTGAATCGTCTTTTTCCACCAGTATTCAGTGACATTTTATTTCCCAGAATGCCCTCTTCCTCCTCATCAAAACATGATGGTTAAATTTCAGCGTTCGCCCAATGAACGGAGGGCTGAACCACTTTACACTAATCAGCCACAGCATTGAAACCAGTCAGTCAGTTCTGATGTTGTCAGTGTGACCGTGAACACCAAGAATCCTCTGTTCCGATTGGCTCATTTCCAGCACCTGAACTAGGTGCACTTTTCGTGATCCTACATGAACTAACACGTTTGAGTTAGAACAGTTAGTTTCTGTTTCCACCTGAGTTTCTATCACTGGTTTATAGTTAATATCACAAACCTGTATTAAAGGTCCTATCTGTAAGAGAAAGAATGTGTGAGCAGATGGTAACATATCTGTAAGTCTTTTAAAATTAGCATTGGTTGCATGCACTAGCTTGTTGATGTTGACATCAAAGTACACTAAGGAGCGTCCCCCAGCACAAAATAAAACTGTCTGCTCTTTAGAACCTGTTACTTTGTTGGTTTTCATGTAGATTTTCTATCTGCCTACTATCGTCTGTTTAGAACTGAGGAGTATCATCGTCTCAGGTCCCACTCAGTCCAGTCACGTTATTAAAAAAACAAAAGCAAACGTTTATGTTCTGTGATACTGAAACATGAATAATGAAAGATGAGGGTTGCAATGGAAATGATCACATCAGTAATAATCCAAGTTTAGTGAGTGACAAAGCTTGCTATCTAAGGCCAACATATCATATATAGTGTACCAACATCACCAGTTTACAAAGTACCAGCTAGAAAGCTGAAAACAATGTTACACTTCATAAATCCTGTATTTTAGTCGCAAATGTTGTTTCTATCAACATGATGCCATCGCGGCACTATTATTGGCTGATGCTCAGGATACTCACTCATACATGTGAACAACTGGTTGACTGAAGTCCACTTATTATGAATATTACACAAAGAACCTTTTTAGGAGAGCTGGGTACAACCAATTTGCTGCCAATTTGTCCTAATGGCCACTTGTAGTATTACAACAACAACAAAATAGCTTCAGCCTTTGTTAGATTGGTCTATGAGAGACCAAACGTCCAATTATTGCATTACTTTGGACTGAAAGTGCGTTGATTGCAATGGTAATATAAGCTTTATGCTGAGGTGGTTTCTCTTTGTAATGATGCTGTCAGTGTAAGAACAGCTGCCTGCGGACCCAGACCCTTTTATTGTATATATATATTATACATGCATTTCTTGTGTGACACATGTAAAACGGAGACAGTGCACCTGCCTGTCACTGTCTCCGTACATTTATGATTAAGATTCATGTAGACCACCATATGCTGCCCTATGAAAACAAACTTTCAATTTTCAGAACATTAAATGAACTGATAAAAGGATAAATCAGCTATTTTACAGCATGAATATACAAATCATTTCGTCAGAAGAGCGAGACAGCGCTCCCCGCCCTCTGTGCTGAGAGTCTACCTCCGTCCTGAAACACAGAAACTGAACCAACATGTTTATCAGTCTGTTTTCTCCTCCTCTGTTTGTCTGTGGGGGAATCCAAATGTCCAGACTACCCTCCTGCTGCAGGTGTAGTCTCTGATCATTATGCCCACATTTTGCAACCCTATGCCTGTGACCCTTATTAGAATAATACTATTAATATAAATGGTAAGGGAAAAAAAGTAGAAGTAGTTTAGATATTATTTTCTTAACTATATAAAGTCGATTTATCTGTTGCTATTGATCTTTTGGTCATTTCACACTAATTTGCAGATGTTGTTGTTGTTGCCTTTTTATTTTTCTGAGAGTGTTTTTGCCATGACAACTGGACTACAGAGGAAGTTTTTGCCAACGACTAAAAGCTCCAGAAGAACTACTAAACAGATCTGGTGGTGATATTAGCATCATTTCTCATATAAAAATAAACTTTGAATCTAAGTCAATGTGTTGATTTTTGTATAAGTTTATTTATGTAATGAGGCTTTATATTACACACAACTTGTAAATTTACAAACTGCTTAATCCATTCAGAAAAGGGGAAAAAAAGATTTGGGGAGTTTTGGCATCTAATGACGTCTGAAGTGGAGTCATGGAGCTTTGAAATGCACCCTGGGGATTTAAAGGCGGGCAGTCCAGGAAGGTCGAGTACTACAACAGCAAAGCAAATGAAATACAAGTGAAATAAACCTACTGTCGCCCTGTTAGGATGTGGGAGTTGGCGGGAATCACTCAAGGAGATGCATTATGGGAGAAATAAGTGAGTAGGTACTTAAAACAAAGAACTTAAATCCAACTTCTTTAAATAAAATCAGTTTGATTGTGCAACAGCATCGGATTATACATGTACAGTATATATGGAGGAGAGTTTGAATAAACACAAGCTTTGTTACCGTGACAACAGCAACATTTCCTGTGGGGAAATGGGGTCAGTAGATGAACTCCCCAGGGACCTCCTGCAGGGCACTGAAGGGCTCCTCAAACTTGAAGCGTTTGGAGATGGCCTTCTGCTCGGCGGCCAGAGCCTCCTTCTCTGAGGTGGACGACTGGCGGCACTGACCCAGAGTGTAGGCAGCCATGACGATCAGCTCCTCTGTCACTGGCCGTTCTTCCTCCTCATCCACAGCTGTAGTCTGGCAGCTGGGAGTTTCAGGACTACTGGTGGTGCTGGACACCTCCTGCTCCGTCACCGGGAGGATCTCCTCCACCGTCTGGGTTTCCTGAGTCTTTGAGTGCTGAAGCCAGGGGTGTGTGAGACACTGCTCCGCTGTGGCCCGATCCCTAAAACACACACGCACAGGAATGTAGCTACACATCCCAAATTCTGCTTTGGTTCTGCATTAATACATGTTTATCAAGCCTTCTGCTAAAATAGCTTAAATGTATTTTCTCACCATACACTCTAAAGTTCTCGATCTGAAAACCAAGATGTCCACTAGGGGTCACTAAAGCTTCACAGTTACTCATCTGACCTCACAGCACTGCTGTTGTGATTAAGGTGTATTCTATGTCAGAAGATATTGTGACTGCAAAATAATGTTTTCAAATGTAGCTCAGCAATAACTACTGGTCAACATTAGATTTCTGTCACATCAGGAAAAAAAAAAAAAGCATCCATATCACGTTATAATGTGAAAGGTTTCACATCCCAATCAGAGTAATGTACCCAACCAGCTACAGGATACTTTTAATTAAAACAAGCTTTAATAAATCTGGGATGAAATGGGAGGAAAACCACTGCACTCAATGTACAGTAGGCAGTGAGACCAGTGAACCATGAACAAACTGCAACGTCTAAAATACATTTATACTTATTATACTTTTTCAATAGGTTCACTCCTGTGTAGTGCAGAGTCACCAAAATCATCTTCCTGGTCAGACTACCACCCTAGTAGTAAACTTTCAGTGAAACCATATTATAAAGTATTGTTTTTTAATTTATCTGGTGTGACAGCAATATGCTTCTGTAGTTCAACTTTAGTCATTCATGTTTTTATGTATGATGTATTGTAAGGTGTCCTTGGGTGTCTAGAAATGTACAGTGGAATTATTTTCATGATTCTTCTTATTCCTATTCAATGTTATTGTTTCATAAATATGTATATGGTTAATTTGGCTGCATTAAAACACACAGAGTGAGCAGCAGCAAGAGGAGACTGAAAGAAGGTTCAGACCATCTCCCTCCCTCTCTCCCTCCTTCCCTCTCTTCCTCTGACTCTCACCAAACACAATAAATGTATGTTGTGTGTTGATGCCCTAGTAAATATAGCTGTGTTGTTTAAAGATAGGCAAGAGAACAGAGCAGTAGGTGGGGCCCTGACTAAACTCAGTCAAACACACTGACCTATCCTCTGCCTATTGGTAGTAAGTCAACCTGTGGTTGCATTAATGAATTTTTGCCTTTTTTGTTCCATTGGTAAGATATGAAATATGTTCATGGGGATACGAGTGAGGTGTAAACTGACTGTGGCTGTTTGAGGAGCAACATCTGGATGAAGGACAGCGCTGCCTTGTCCAGCTGCTGCAGCTCCTCCTCCGTGTAGCTCACATTGAGCTGGGAGATGTTGAGAAACGTCCCCTGCTTGTCCTCGCCCAGGAATGGTGAGATCCCCGTCAGCATCACATAGGCCAACACACCGATGCTCCTGAAACAGACAACATGGAGCAGAGTGCACACAGGGTTAGGAAGAACACAACCGAGAAAATATAAAGCAATCACAAAGCAATGGACATTTAGAAAAAACAAAATATATTAAAATATAAAACACATGAATAGTATATTTATTTAAATTAATAGAATATTGTCAGAGGGTTGCATCCTCACTTCATTTTCAGAACAAAATTAACATTTGTTGCCCTTGTTTTTGTGAGTTTGTTTTGTGGTTATGCTGGGACCTGACAACACTGTCATTCTGTCAGGTATTCTTGTTAAAATAAAACAAATTAAAATGTAACTATCAAGAAACCTCATTGTTAACAGACAATTACAGTGTCTTTCACTTACAGTTAAATTCAGTTTTTATCTGTATCGAAATGAGGCAGTGACAGGTAAAGTCTGGATCTCTGTGGTTTGCCTGTGAGTTGCTGTGAGCTTCAGTGTGATTTAAAACATTGTTAACACATTCTACAAACTTCTACAACTCACTTCTTTAGATTAAGTTTGTGAGGGAAACTGACATTTCTACCGGGAGACAATATAAAGGTGGGACACCATTGCCCCTAAAATCAAACCTTCACCCTTTCAAATAGACAGCCCAGTGTCCAGGTGAAGTTTAAGACCTCATCACCAGAAAAAACATAGTTGAAAAGATTAGAGTTTTCTCACCACATATCTGTTGCTGTACTTATGGGCTCATAATTCAGGATCTCCGGAGCTGGAAAAATAACACAAATTATTATTCGGAATTACACAAGTTCAAAAAGTAAACTGGGTCATGGTTTGAAGTCTCTGTTCACCTGGATTTGAGCGGTTTGTGTCTGTGTGTGTTATCGTGGTCATTAAGAGAAAAAAAAAAGTGAAAGACAAAGTTGTAACCATGACAGTGAACGTATTTGAAATAAGGACGCTGCTGCAAAGAAGCAACACGTTTTTAAACATGGACACTTCACAAATGTCTTCACTCCTGTGGCAGAAGGTCTTATACATACACCACAGATTCAAGGTTGGGACATCAAGAACAAGATGGTTACAATCAACCAAAATCTCCCCTTCTGTTCCTGAGGTACAGTGTTGAATAAAGTCATATAAGTGTTTTTGAAGAACATTTTGATGTCACAGTGAAGTTGACCTTTAACCTTTTGGGTATAAAATGATATAACTTCATAATTTTATTCTAATAGACATTTGTATGAAACTTACCATAATTAACATATGAATTCTTGAGTTATGACCAAAAACTTAATCTGTAAGAGCTTCCAAATTTGAATAAATTCCCTGACGGCGTTCCAGAGATAATGCGTTCACCAGAATGTGACAGAGGGACAAAGTTGGCCTGGTGATTGTGTGGTAGAGCGACTCACCAACATACTCCGGGGTCCCCATGATCTCCCGGAGCTCCTGGTGGCTGCAGACCATCCTGGACAGGCCGAAGTCCACGATCTTAATGTCACCCAGAGGAGAGCTGCTGGTCAGCAGGATGTTCTGAGGCTGGAAGGACATCACAGCACACGTTACACACTCACCTCACACACACGTGTAGAATATAGATGATTTAATCTGTCTTTTTTTCTCCTGAAGTTTCTTGACTGGTTGTAACTCCTTAGTCCTCTAAACCCCCCAACATCATTTTATTCACAAAGGATAACATTCTGCTTCTGGCTTTAGAGACTCCCTTGTTCACAATGTCTTAAAATACTGAATTTATAATACATTGATATCCACATCATTTTTCATCAGAACATTTCAAATATTAAAAAATGCCCATCATAATTTCCTAGGGGTTAAGGTTGGTGCTGGGTGGATGATCTTTAAAATAAATCAAACACCACACTGAGCCTCCCTCTGCCCCATTCTTCAGGGCATTCTCCCTGAAACACATCTTCACCTCAACCACTTGCCTCAACATTCATTCCCCTTCCTCTAACACATAACACTTTATTAAAACCTTTAAAATAAATGCTGTTGTGTCGTGGTCCTTTTATAGAACTAATTCCTCATACTGAGCAGGAATGGGCAGAGACCTTTGCCAGGCTTTAACACCTCTGAAATGTTAAAATGATCTGGAATCTTTATGTCACAGCACCAACATTTTACCAGAGGATGAAATAAGCTTTAGCTTGACTAACTGCTGAAGGTTTGAAGATCACTGAGGAAATGAGAATTGTGTGTGTTCTTCTCCACTGACCTTGAGGTCGAGGTGGACTATGTTGTTCTGATGGAGGAAGGTGACTCCCTCCAGGATTTGCCTCATGAGCCTCTTCACGTCGTCCTCACTGAAGGCCTCGTCCTCTGACACACACTGGTTGAAGATCTCACCTCCAGCCGCACTGCGTGACACATAAGATGAGAATAACGTGATCATGTTCACTTGCCACTTTGAAAGTCTTCAGTCTAAAAGGATGAGAGATCATTCAGGTTTGCTGTAAAGCTCCACCAATCATTGTACAGTGTCAGGGAGGCTACAGCCAGGGTAGGTCACCAGTCTCATACAGTGCACACACATACATCTACCTGTGATTTAGAGTTCTCACTTGACCTAACTTCAGTGTTTGGATTGTGAAAGGAAACCAGATAGTCCGCCTGAAAACCCAAACTACAGCTCTGGTTCCCTGTTTCACCACACGCTCACCAAAATGATCATGAAACTTACGTTTATGTCCAACTTTTTATGGTGAATACCACAAGACACCATGGGAAAAAAAACACTGTCTCGCCCCAATGTGTGTTTTGACTTGCTGGAGGTGGAGGCAGAAATAGAAGAACTCCTCTAAATATAGCAAACTAATTACAAGCTTCTCTTGAATGAGGCCACTTGTACTGTTGACTGATCGCATTCTTATCACCTCTGACATGAGAAACCAGGGCTGCGAGAATAAAATAAACAACAACATGAACATTGACTCAACCTACTATCAACCGTGAAAGTACTGGCGTTCTTTGAGCACCTTTAATTTCCTTTGACCTGAGATAAACTCTTGACGGACAAATTCAATCAGAAAACTGAAAAAGAAAAAGAGGGAGGGCAGTCAGGAATAGACAAGGTGTCCCCTCAGGGTGCTGGTGAATTAGGCTTTATCTCAGAGGAAGGTGGAGAGGGGGAGGAAGAGGAGGGGCGAGGGAGAATGTTGTGGACTTACAAGTTGATAAAAAGAGCCTTTGACCTGACTAGTGAAAATCAAAACATAAGTCTGGAGGCCGCACCTGATGCAATTCAAAGAGACTATAATCTGGCTGATCATGGATCAACAACAGCTTCTTTGCAGAGTAATTTAATTATTTGATATCTTTTTATTTGGGCTCCTTAATGTGTTTCTAAACTTTTAAACTGAGGACCACATGTGCTCCGCACCTCAGTTTAAAACATGCCCTCACTATTGTGCTGCAAGCAAGTGTGCTTTGAGATATGTTTCTATTTAACTTATGTCAAACTCATATAAACTTGTGTTACTAAACATAATTACCTGAGTTAAGCCAGATTTACATAAGCACATGGGGTTAAACCATAGACTGTGGGTTAAACACACCAGAACTGCTGTGACGACACTGAGCTAAACCCTTAGCCAATGCTTCTGCTAAAGGGGTCAAAGGTTGATACACACACATACACACACACACTTTGTTTCCCCCTCTATATTCTCTCCCTTCTGTTGTAGAGCCATCAGACCTGCTCGTAGGTAATCGTGTTTTTTCTATTGTAGCTGTTGTGTTCCTGCTCACAGTAATTGTGAAGATGGCATGTTTGGTGCACTGAATTGGGCTTCCCGGAGCCCAAACTTCCTTTTCGCTACATTTTGTTTCAGGTGCCTCTAACTTTCCTCTTAGTATAGAATGATAGATCTATGTGTGTTTGCCAATGCATGTACAATTTGTCAAAAAGTCAACTACTGTGGCTAAAGCAGTCCTGACAATGCAAGGTTTGGTTTGTGTGGCTGAGAAGGAAGTATCGGAAGCCAGAGAGTATTATGTTTTAAAATCAGGTCAGTTGACGGAGATGTATGCGTGAAATGATTGGTTTCTAATCTGTGTCACTGTTGTGCGCACACACACACGTGGCTGCTTTCGGCACGTGCGTCTAACTGTTGGAATGGCATTTCATTCCTCATAGGATCAGACAGAAACCAAACCAAGTTGGCAAACAGAAAACAACAGCTACAGACTTCCCCATGTACCTGTCACAAACAGGAGCTTATCTCAATACCCATGCGTCTCTTAAATGTTTGTTTTAACTCCAAGTAGCAGAGTGTGAAACCATGTATTGCCCTTTAAATCCATTTGCCAGGACACTTTAAAGTGCAGAGCGTAGTATTTGTAAGTATTTGTTGAACTGTGAGACTTGATGCACCAATCAATTAAACACAAAAACCCCAGTGACCGAGAAGCCTCACTAAATGGGTCATTCACCACCAGCAACAGACACACAGCTCCAATGATACGGTCCCTGACAAAAGCAGAGTTTTGCCCCTGAACCCTGACAGTGGCTTTGAAGCCCAGCGAGAGGTCAGGTTCAGCCAGTCACAGTTTGATTGGCGAGTTGCTGATGCAATGAATGAAATCAGTGTCCGCTCAGTGCTGTGGGAATGGATCACTTCGGCTTTGATCAGCCACCCGTTACGCTCAGGCCTCAGATAGTTTGGGTGAAAAAATAATAACATTAACGTCAGCTGACCTAATTATTTGACCTGCTTCAGTCATACCATAAACACATGAAAACAATGAGGGGTGGGAAGGGAAGGAAGCTTTGAACTGGAAGGCAGGGAAACTATAAAAGTCCCAAATATTCCTTTATGAGTGAGTCTCTTTAGGATTCACAGAGAACAAGTGGAGAGTGCAATCTCAATCAAGGCAGACATAGATGCTCTACTAGTGGAGGAAACCTCTTGACAAAGAACAGCAGAGACAAATGTGGGACAGAGAGAGGGGGAGCGATAAACTCAGAGCGAGGTCAAGTGAATTCCTAGAAGTGGCCCTCCATATTGGACTCATCATGTATTCATGTCCAGCAAATTGGAGTTTCCCATGAGGTAATGGCTCCATTTACTGCTGAAAAATAGCAACATGCAATATGGTAATATATTCACATTTGTTCAAATGTCCGATATCTGACATCACCACTTAGTATGACAAGACTGTGATGGGCCCTCGGGACATAAATTAGATGTGGACTCCAATTGAGCAAATCAAGCATGATCCATGACTTCCATTTTCTCTCAGAGCCCCGAGAACATACCAATATTTATAAACTGGAATACAAAGCAAGTTATATTATATGGCTAGAAATACAATTAATGAATATCCACAATATAATAATTAGATCAAGCATTCTTATTTTACCTTATAGTTTGTATTGTGCTTTACTCATTATTATCAAAAAGTCGGAGAACGTTTTTTAAAAACATATACTTAGAGGTAGCTGTCAATTATGACACACAGCTCGAGATGTGCCACGTAAAATAAGTTCTCATACAAAAGACCAGTACAAGTTGAATGCAGCATGGAAGACAAGCAGAAACAATCTTTTATTTCAAATGAACAAGGTTAAGGTTAACAAAATAAAACATACCGTATATTAGCTTTTTGATCACCTAACTTTATTCAGCATAATCACATGGCTACCATTTCACTCTGATGTCATGCTCAGGGTGGGAAGCTACAGTAAGGGTGATGTTAGCTGGGAAGTGGTTGAATGCTATAGCTGTTGTCTATTGGTAGCTAACGGGCTATCAAACAAAATGTTTTACCTTGGTGTGACTTGCAACCTGCACCATAGCAGAACAACATCACTCTGTAATTATGACATTAGAAATTCCCATCCTGAGTGGGACATCATTGGAAAATGGCCACATTGTGAATTGCTGAAAACTAGATGGAAGGATGTGGTATTGGTCAGACAATAAATATTAGTGCAGATCCAGATCAGGGGGTGGATCCAGGATTTGGTTTCCTTCAGTTTAATAATTGTGGGATAGTGTGTTTTTTAAAATTCATGTAAGGTGTGAATCTCAACATATTTAGGGAACTGATATCAAAGAGTGTGTGTAATTTGGAGTGGCTTGATTGAATTTAAGAGGACTGTTGGTGGTGCACGAGTCTACATTTTTCCTACATCAAAACCAATAATGACTATATCACATTGTTAAGTATTACAATCAAGCCCACCGATAGTGTAACTTCAGTAACCATGGTTCTAACTTAATCGCAGACAGCAACATTCATGTTTAAAGGACCAGAACTGTTGTTGTGGTCGAGCCAAGAACTACACTGACTGTTTTAAATGGAACCATGTATATATGATTCATTCTTAATCACTTTCATCAACTGTTAAATAAACACTACACATTTATTTTGTTCTGTAAGAATTTATAAAACCAGACACTGAAGACCTTGACTTATCCTTAATGTCATTAGCAAGCTGATGTTGAATAAGTTAATAAAACAGAATAGCTCAATGGAGTCCACCTGAACCATCAAGTCATTCCTATGTTTTGTTTATGCACTGGGACTCTCTCTCTGGGTGAGCGACCTTGCTTTGGCTGGTCACGAGCGCTCGTGCGCCTCAACTGACATAATAAACTCCCAGCTGGAGCTCAGCCAGCAATGAGGCCATGGAGTTCTCTATTGCTCTCATTCATTCTCTCTGGATTCCTTCATCTCTCCGTTTAATTGTTCTCTCCATTACATTTACACTATTCTTGGCTCTGTCTTTTCCCCTCCTCTCTAATTTTTCTCACTCTTCATCACTTCCTTTCTTTCTCGCCCTACCAGCCTGAAAAAAAGCTTTAGGCCTTTTTGCCTATTTTCCTCACTCTTACCTCCTTCCCTCCCTCCTTTCCTCCCATCGCGGCATGAATAGATTTCTATGTCAAGTTGACCCTCATTTGCAGAATATCTGCCCCCTCCTTCCTCCATTCATCCTTCAATCCTCCTTCATTACCATTACCCCACTGCCCGAAATATCTGTCAGCTGTCAGACAAATAAAAGATGGGCAGAGAAAAAGGAAAAAAAAGAGTATGTCGTCAACGTCCCTCTTCAGAGAGAATGAAAGCATTCTGCTCTACTTCCTTTCGAGAAAAAAAAAATAACACAGACGAGAAATGCTCTAGCGGTCCATAGAACACTCGTGTGATTCTTATGGTGATGACTTGAACTGAATGATCTCATACCTGCAGATTGTTAATGAGTGTTTCTCTTTTATTTCAACATTTAAATGACAAATGATCCATTCCATAGTCTGCATCAATAACAGCAGATATGGATAGTGGTTAACACTTCCAAATATATGAGCAGATTTGATGAAATTTAGGACAATGAATAAATAACACCATCAAAATTGTAGTGTCTTTCTGTGTTAGCATGGTCGGGTCTGTGTGCGTCTGTGTTGACTGTGTGTGTCTGATGAGGACCACTGTCCTCACCCAGGGCAGCAGTTAATTCTGAGATTATCCTTTTAATGAACAATGGCTGGGATTAGGATTATGGGCTGAGGTGGGGGAGGATTGGGCCAACTGGAGAATTTAACGGGGCATTTATTGGATCTCCTTAACAGAATAGATTGCATTGTATGCCATGTGCTGCTGACGGCAAATCATTCTATATAGCGAAACAATACACATAATACGGACAATATCTTAATTTACTAACAATTTACATTAAACAGGCGCTCCACTGATTTTACTCAGAGGCAACAAGTGGAAGGAAACTTGAGCTTGACATTTAATAGGAAAAAACACTATAACACCATGATTCACCCAACTTTACGAAAGCGCAATACTGAATCACCACAGGAGTCAGTAGTAGGAGGTACATTACAGATCATCCCATTCAACACAAAGGGCCACCTGGCCTCCAGTGTCAACAGAGGAAGTTCCATATCACCACCCATGTTTCACTTTTGTGTCATTTATTAATGGATGCATCCTTTCAGCACGTGACACACCATTGAAAGTGCAGAGCTGATTTCACTGCACCGATATAGTATGTGTAGAGGTCAAACGCGACAGATGACAGCTGATCCAGAATGTGTCAATACCATCTAATCTGTCGGACTCTGACGGGGAGGGAGTTCTGTGTGTCACATGGAGAGGGATGCAGGCAAAATCCAATATGGCATGGAAAGGGGGAGTAGACAGAGGGGAAGTGAGGGAGACCTTCTTGATCAGCCCGGTGTGACATGAACTGACATGCACACGTGCACACACACACACACACTATGGGAACCAGGTCAAGCATAGTCTGGGCAAGACCAGTGGAATGAGATCATCGACAACTGGTGTAGCTACTGCAGTCAACACCATGCAGTATCACATGCATGAGTGTGTGTGTGTGTGTCTCACATACTGGGTCAAAGTGAGCTTTGCTCCAGTTGGTCTTTTTTCACGGTTACTAATGGATTTAACACATCAAACTGCTGTCAGTGTCTGTCTCCTTCACCTCTAAGCCTGGGACACAGGAAATCCAATCCCAGAGAGAGAGAATGTGTGTGTGTGTGTGTGTGTGTGTGTGCACAAAGGCGAAGCACATTGTTGGAATAGCTAGTGTTTACAGGAGTATCAACGTTCGGCCTGAAGCTCTGTAGAACTAAAGAGCGGTCTGTTCCCTCTCATACTTTTCTTTTGAAAATATCACATTGACTAAACAAAGACAGTACAGGAAATGAACACAGATAAAACAAATCTCAGTCTGAGACAAACATTTATGAAGAATACCCCTACACATAAAGTGTCACAACCAATAATGACAAGCACTACTCATAGAGAAAGACTAAAGGACCTGGTGAACATACAGCAGAGAGTGAAAATGAATGTGACATTATTTATCAGGCGCTCCAGGGAGGATGGTGATGAGGAAAACTGAAAATAGCATTCGGACAACAGAGGTTTTATTCACAGGAGAGATTTCCAAAAGTTTTGGATCCTTCATTAATGTCATTGGTGAAAACTGTGTTTTTCCTCCTTTTTGGAAATGGAGGATAATTTCACCCAGAATTAAAACAGCAAAATATTACAGAAAAAGAAAAACAATTTTTAAACTGTTTTAATTGGATGATAAATAAGAATGAACGTTTTTTGGGGGGGGTAAATTTAGGTAATAAAATGCATAAATCACTCACCCTGGAGTTCACTGTTACAATTGAGCTTAAACAGTTTTTTGAGCATTCACAATTACCACTGGTGTACTTGAAAGATTTTAAGGAACATTTATCGAACTATTTGACAAATGTTCAAATCTCAGGTTTCTGTGAGTAAAGTGTATATATTGGATACTCACAACTCCAGGACCAGCACCATCTCAGAAGCCATCTCGTAGACCTGGTGGAGGTTGACCACCCGGGGATTAACTGTGGCCAACTCAAGCACTGCAATCTCATGGATGATCTCCATCCGGCAGTCCTGGCCTTTCCGTCTCTTCCTCATGAACTTTGCAGCATACTCATGGCCCGAGCATTTCTCCACACACTTTCTGACAACGGCAAATTTCCCCCTGGAGGAAAAGATGAATGTCAGTGGTGTGTAGGCACTTGCCATGTGTAATTCTGAATGCAACAGGAGGAACACTTGCACTTGTTGCGTATATACCAAAGTTTATTTTTATATGAAAGACCTTCTAATATGCCACACCTCATATTTGTCGAACACGCTAGATAAAGTTTATCATAGTTTAGCATGTCCCATGTTTTAGAGTGATGTGTTAGCATGCAAACATTTGGTAATCAGCACTAAACACAAAGTAAGATTGCCCTGTGAACATGCCTGCAGTGTGCTATCATGCACACAATACCAAACCCCAGTGAAAACAGTGAAGAGCACACATTAAACAAACATCTCCCTGGCTGCAGAGAACTGTATGCTTGTCGTGCTAACATGCACAGTGATAATGTCATCTACCAATGTTAAGCCAAATTCTGCTTTCCTGCAGAGGACGGTAAAAACCTGGATGTTTGACAGGCTGTGAGAGAGAGATTGTATCTCTCTCTTTTTCAATCTCTCTCTCTCTCTCACTCTCTCTGTACCTCTTAAGCACAGAGAGTGAGAGCGACAGGGGGAAGCCACGTGCTACACACAGTTCTACAATGAAGCAATGATGCAGATCATCTAGTAGGGGACACTGATTTTAGTCCTAAAATCCAAAAAGTCAATAAAAAAGTCTGAGCTAAAAAACAGTGTATGATCTGTAAGAAAGTAAAAACATGTGTAAAAGCTACAGATCTGACTGTAGTTTTATCCAATGATGAGCGGTGCCTGTGGATATTGTTGGCAGCATTTCCATTCCTCTTTCCACCACGACAGACTGGCCTGACCCAGTTTTATAGCAGAGTGGAAGGTGGTTTCATGTGAAGACCACAAAGTGCTGTGTGCACACACATGTGAGCTGCCCAGGGGAAATCCTCTGAAAGGCAGCTGGTGATGGAGATGACAGGCCCACATCATGTCTTCCCTGTGGCTACTGTTGGCAGTCAATGCTCCAATAATCAGCAGCAGCACCCCGGCTGAAGCCGGACCAGTTCATAGCCAAGATGAATGCACACTGACACGTCAAAACCTTCACGGCTTCTTCTAAATTTGGCTCTGGATTTCTCTGTGGCATGACGTAAGGATTGGAAATACAGACATTACAGTTTGTCGGAAACACAATTGCACTGTTGATTGCACCTACTTTCTATTGACTAAGAAAGAGTAAATGGATATCTCCATGTTTTTACTTGGTCTGTGTGCCACCGAGCAATAATAATGTAAACCATCCAAAAGATTTAATACAGGGAAACAGTCAGGAGGCAGCTACATAGAAAGCCTTTGCCACAGTTAGTTAGAGTGGAAAGTGAGAGATAATTATGCTTAACATTAATTGAATCATGTAAGCAGGATCACTAAATATTCAGAGGAAACACTGATATTTAAATGAAAAACTATACATATATTATTAATGCTGCTACAAATCTTGGCATGTTAATGTATTTTAAATAAACAGCATTTTTTAAGAATAAATACAGTATCATCAAACATACCAACATTCAAAGATATCAATGTTTCCTACATTTCTAAAACTATTTGAATATAAAGGTCAAACAAAATCTGTTAAATGTTTAAATTTAACTTTCACCTCATGTCATCTGTTACAATTTACATGACAGCTAAGTTGTTTTCATCTCTTCCACTTGTGACTCACACGACTCACTCTGTCTGAACGCTTTGCCTTTTACAATTTAAATTTTAGTGTTCAACTACTTTTGAGTGTTATACAGATTAACTAAGAAACTCTGCTGTTTAAAACTGAAATATGACACGCTTTCAGTGAGTACATCAAATTAAACTGCCACTTCCCAATTGCACATTTTCAACATCAAGTAGTTGACATTTCACTGCCAACCACAGCAATAAAATCAGTATAACACGCCTAATGGTTTTCACTGCAGGGTGAAAGTGCGGAAAGAGTGCAGAGTTCAAGAAGATCTTTATGTTCTTTTACTTTTTATCTTAAAACACCCTGCATTACATACAGCAACACTCATTAAGACAGAGGGAATCTCAAAATATAACAACCCAAATCAAGGATTTTCACTTTAACAAAGAAAAGTATTATAATAATTCAGTGCTGCAGGGGCAGTACAAACATGTATTATGATTAGAAGAGGCTGGCCTGCACAACACACAAGACAGATCTCTGTGATAAGACTAATTCAAATTAACTCTTTATGAGAGTTTCAGCTAAGAGCGAGAGGGGAAGCTGTGAGATCAGACCACAATGAGAAAGACTGTAGTAGCCATAAAGGTCTTGTGTCAGGGTACAGGGCATGACGAGCAGCTCTGGGCCTGAAGCACTGCACTGAGCTGCTTCATCCTCAGCTGGCCTCATGTGAGAGTCATGGGGCTGAAGCTGCTGGAGGCTACGGATTCCAGCAGTGAGAGATGCTTTTGATTACGAGACTTGGCATCACAGCAGGGACTTGTAACCCATCTATTTATTCGTGCAACTGGCTTCTCCATTGAAGTGAATTTGATGAACCACATTTGATGTTATTGAGGATGTGAATGATGGCGATGATGAACTTTGCTTGAGCATAGTTTTTACTAGTTACTGACTTTTGTGAAAAACAGCGAATCAATTCCCATGATCTGGATAGATAAAAAAATGACAATCACTTTGATACTTTCGTCTTTATAAAGTTGTTATTACATAAAATACCTTGTGTTTGGTGCCATTGCTTTATTGTAGAGCTGTGTACAGTGCCATCTGCCCCGCTGTCGCTCTCACTCACTTACTCTCACACAAACACATTGACCTGTTTGTAGCTGGCCATCAGCAGCACCAGGAGAAATCCCATCAAGCTGGTGGGCCATCAGAAAATCCTTTTTTACCAATCACATCAGACAGCAAAAACTCATTATAGCACCTGCCACTTTGAGGGTACACATGAGAGCGTGACGGCTCATTAATGTCACCAGGCTCCCCTCATGGCATCAGTTTGCCAAACAGGCACTTTTACTTTTCACTCCAAATCCTCTGCGCCTCTGTGCTGTGACTCTGTTAGATAGATAGACCTTGACATTTCACTGATCATCTTTAAAAGTTAATTATACCGGTAATATTCCTCCTATACGTTCACTCTCTCACACGCACCCACGCACACACACACACAGATGAAAACAATGCACTGCATGGCTATCCCGGAATGCAGGGTGATTATTAAAGTCAGAATTAAGTTAGGATTTTTCTTTTTCTTAGTTTTCATGGTTTAAAGAACTCTGGAGACAGTGTGTTTGAGTATGGGTGTGGCTTTGCCTGGGATCAGTTGAGAGATGGTGTTTGGTTTGGGAGTCTGGGCCTGCTCTTTAGAAACCATACTGGGCCACCACAGCCTTTTCTAAAGCGGCATCAGCACATTTCCAAAGCCAGCAGCCTCATTCACAGGCTACACCCTGAAAGAGATGGCTTTTGTGTGTGCGTGTGTGTGTGCGCATGTGTGTATGTGTATATGTGTGTGTGTGTGTGTATGTGTGTGTGTGTGTGTAAACAGACCAAGCCAAAGGTGGTGGCATGGTTACATTTAATGGAAAGAAGCTGTCTAATGGATGCAGTGGACGGCTTTGAGAGGTCAGAGCCTAAAGCCAAGCTGCAGCAGGGAGCCTGACAGTGTTCAGTGTGTATTAATACACTCATACTTTGCACCAGCTGTTCAAAAGCCTAAGCATGGCCTAGTTATAGTGCAAGTGTTTACTAACTATATGATTTATGCATCACTGATTAGCTCATACAATCTTTTATAGAGCTTAGCTTTTACAGTTAATATTTACACTGCAGAGTTTACCTGCTTTGAACTATGTTTCCAGGTTTAAACCCTCTATCTGCCCTGCTAATGTGCCCTTGAGCTTTTCTACATTGCACTACACATATTTTGTAGCTGCCCATGACTTTGATGAATATGATGTAGTCAATTTAGTCTGTTGTGGTATTAATGGTGCAGGGTAATATACTATAAATAAAAAGTTAGTTGCACTTATATGTAGCACTTACAGTCTTTTTGAAGCTAGTTGTACTTACGTAGTTCTTGCTGTTCCAGGCAATGCAATTATTGCTTTGGATAAAAGCACTAGCTAAATGATATGTAATGTAATGTATGATGGTACTGCTCGATCTGCTGTGCCATTTTCTTTATTCCTTTTTTAAATAAGATCAGTGTGAAATCTGACTTTTGGTTCGACATGCTACCACCAACATGAAAGCATATTTGGAAATCAATATGTTAACCAATAAAAGGAGTCACCAGAGTAAAACCCTGTAAAAGCTCATACAATGTGCCAAAGTCAGGCTACAGGTATACTGGTATTCTCTTTTGAGACGTTTTTAAAGTCTATACTTGTTTAATTACACCAATATTGACGTTTCTGTAGTTCTCTTTTCTATTATTTCTAAGCAGAATTATAACGGTTACAATTATAAAACGGCAGAATTATAATTGTAACGGTCTCCAGAATTGATGTATAAATCACACTGAATGAAATCAAGACATGTTTCTGTACCATTTCACTAAGATATGACTCCAAACTACCATTTTTGATTCAAATCCACCTCATACAGTATCTCTTCATCCTGTATCTGTGGCCTTTGGTTTTATCCTGAAGTCACTGTCTATGACTGATCCCATCCTTTAGTTTCCCAATGGCTCAAATGCCAAGATGATTAGTACTATTACAGAGTAGCACAGTGAATACTTAATTCCACACTTTCCCTGTCTAAATGCTGTATTTCATGCAGTAGAGATGTGTTTCCATCCACAACGGTACAGGGGCTTAATAAAAACCATGCCAGTGAATCCCTGGTTCTCACCATGTGTACTGTGGAGGCTCTCTGCAGGCTCATAGCCAGGCTCAGTGACAGGCAGCCAGGCAGCCCTGGATGCATTTAATGAAATAAAGATTTTCACTGGCCTGGGGCCAAAAACTCCCACTGCCACTACTTCCCTGTGTGCACAGCAGGGCTGGTTG